ATTGTTTTTTTTCTGTAATTATGTCTACAGATGTTAGACATACATCTGCTTTCTTCTTTGTACGTAGAAAGCATTTTCAAATAAACAAGCCTGAACAATAATACTTTACAATTTAGTTATAACTTCGACGAAACAATAAGAAGACATAAATTGTCTGAGCCGTGTAATGTAAATGTGCAACACAATTCGAAAAGTATGACCAAACATGTACTTGTCACAGATATTTATATGAAAATTTATCAAAAGATTAAGGGTGAAAATAAGAAAAGAGGTCGGGGAGGAAGGCCGCATTAAAAACCAAAAAACAATGAAAATCAGTAGAGCAGAAATAATAATTCATCGAACTTGGATTCGGAGTTGAATTCACTAAGGGAGATTTGATGTGGTAACAAATTACTTTTGAACACACAAAGGCGGTTTAAGCTTTCTAGAAGTTGAAGATTCGGCAAATTAAAACATTCATTCCCAACACTTTCTGTAAATACGTCTAAAAATGTAGTAACGTCAGTCGTGTGACCTGTCTCAGCGATATGTTTTAGCGTGGAAGAACGTGGACGGCTGCTACCAACTTTAGGGCCTTCAGGTGATTCAATTTGCTTCCGAAATCATATTGAAATATCTTTCGAGGCTTTTGCTCGCATGGATCTATGAGTCCTCCCTAAGTATGCGCCACCACACATACATTTGAATTGGTAGATGCAGTGAGATGTGAAGCTGTCGTTCACATGCTGTAAGGGTTGGGGAAGGCACACAAGCTTGGCAGTTTCTGTCAACCGGACCTTAGCTGGATAGTAAGTTCTTCTAATGGCAGCGTTAAGTTTATGCTTAATGATTATTCTGTGAGAGTCACATTTGTACTGGGGACTGATGAAGATGTCTTTCCTCAGAACCAAGCGTAGGTTTCGGTTCTCTGGTTACTTTGTGCCAGCTGAAAGATTTAGATGGATAGTTATTTTTCAACAATGTTTTCGCCTCATCTTCCGAAGTATCATATGTGCTTACTCGCTGCGTTCTATTGAATAAGCACTAACGCTCACATGTGGTGAAACGGACAAAAGCTATGATAACCCATATACTGCCCTTCGATGCAGTTTTTATGTAGATAGATCGTTTCATGTATCCATCCTGCCGCCGAGTAACTAATATGTCGATTAAAGGCGAGCAGTCATCGTCCTCTTCTGCATATGTCAAGAATACGCTGCTCTGCTCTCCATTCAATCGGTTTAGGGTTGAAGTGAACTGACTTGAATTATCAACATCTCTCCTATATAGACGGGCTTTATCAATTAGGTTCCCTGGTACATTTTTCAAATATGACATGAATGTTTGCTTAAAGGGGGCCAAAAGAAACTTCTCATGGCAACACAGCCAACCCTTTTATGGAGATAGGAATAAGAATAAGTTAGGTGACGGTGTGATAAGGTGTCAGTTTTTCAAAACTGTAGGTTCACACAAAGTTTGCATTAAACTCTGGACTATGGTTTGCTGATGTCCATTTCAGCATAGTTCAGTAACCAATAATAATGCATTTGAAAACTAATGATTTAAAATCCCAAACTGCTAGAAGTTACCTGGTGACTAATACTTTGCATTCAACAAGGGAAATGAAATGCGACATATAATACGCCAGGTCATATCATACCGACCAAACTAAACTGATTTTTTGAAGCTTCTAAATTAAGGATCACTTGCTGGATGTTAAATAATCTTGAAACAAATAAACTTGAAAATCTTTTATCATCCTTTACTTCCTACTGAGACTCATGACACAGAAGGAAGTTAAAAAATTACAGATCCATTCTCTTTGCAGACTGCACAAAGATTGTTGAATAGAAGAAAAAACTAGATTATTCTGTAAGCAAGACGGGGAATTATAACTAAGTATTAGAAACCGAGACCTCAAAATGCTTATGAGAATTCGAAAGAGCTGAAACGGATCATACATTTTCTGAATTGTTTCAATTGGACTGAAGTAATTTTCACAAAAATTCAATTATGAGGCAAAACTGTAAAACTTTATTCATACTGTTCCTTCAATAAACTCATAAGAAATTGGGATAATTAAAGAAGTTTTTTGGTATTCTTTTCATCTGCATACAACTTGAACAGTGCAAAACTGAAAATTTTCTAGAAACAATGCAATAGTTGTTTAAGCATAAAAATAAGAAATGGTTCAGATTTTGTACCAATTCGTTTTTTAACTCTTAACTTAAAACATTAAGATTCAACTGAACAACACTGATATATACATGAAAAAGAGCTTATGCAATCGGTATACTACCAGTTTATTTCCATGTCCATCCAAATAATTCATACTAATTATTATTGATGGAGAAGACACTAGGGACATATTCTTTTAATTTCAAGCTTTAAATAGCTTCTGATATAAGTCAACTAACTGGTTAAGATGAATGCCTTAACAATATGCAGAACTTTGTTACAGACTATTCATAATGTTTGTTTGGTGGAAAATGAACTGCTGAAGTTAGGTCTTAAGATTTTAACTCTATTTAGTGACCGATCTTTGCATTAGCTCAAATGTTGGTGTCACAAAACTATACCACTTTTAATGTGCTCAAACTCATTGCTTCTACCACGTATGTATTTATAAATCTTTGTTTACCAGTGATCATGTGCTGCGTAGAAAGTGTTGTTTTTACATTCTGTCGTGTTGTTGACAAATCAAATCCTTATTACCAGCAATATGAAATATTTTGAGATTACTTTGATGTTATATCCAGTGATGTATAGTACGTGACATTTCAGCAGCAATTTAAACAACATTAGCACAAACATTTTCTAAACTAGAAGCGGTTAGCCTGAGGTCTGCATAAGTTGTCAAAATCTTCACAGCATCTTTATATTTACCTACACAAGTATTTGTTTTTACGAAGGAGATCTGTTGTATTTATGATTGCATACTTCCATAATGTAGTCGATATTACGACACAATATTCTGGTTTCTGTTGTTAATAACAAACACTAAAAAAGGGTAAATATTTTGTGATCACTGAACTTTCAGAGCTATTAGAACATACTAATTTGTGTCTTAGTCCTAAACAAAGTGGTTACTTTGGTTTAGGGAATGACTATTTCGCCTACAATAGAGTTATTTTATGAGTGAATTTATGCAAGCAATTATTTGAAAAGTATAAATAACAATAAAAGAGTTGGTGAACAACTTGAAGAAAATCCCTGAGAATAAATCTGAACTTAGCATAAGAAAACGATTGTTTTCTTAACCAACACTTGTTGGGAATTATTCTACAGCCTTGTAAACTATAGAGAGAGCAACACACTACATCTACATCTATGTCCAATCAAACAGAAAACATGATGAAATAAATCCAAATGATAAAGTCCCTGTAATTGATTTGATGCACAAGGTAGGGAATTGGACAAATAAATAAGTTCAGTATTATTTCCTCCCACTGAAACGTCCATAGTTTAATGCTTTAGACCAAGGTGAGACAGATTATAAGTTCACTTCAATTTCAACTAGTTCCTACACTGAAACCAGCCTTTGATGAAAAATGCTTGTTGAATGACGTATTGTTGAAGATTTTGTAACCAACATTATTTTAAAGTTATACGAAAGCGTTTTGTTGAAGATGAACTTGTGCTGGAGTTTAATTAACCTGAGCTTTACATGTTCACTGTAAGACCTAATATTTTCCTTACCAGTTATTCTATTTAAAACTGTTTATTTTGCGTGTATTTTTTGGGTCCTTTTTATGGATAACTAAGTCATTAGTTTAAGATTTTTCGACAGTACTTCTGTACTTCTTCGAAGCTGAAGAAAAGAGACAAAATAACCTTTTGCATTGAAGCTTTTGACATCACGAGGAAGAATAAAGGTAGTTTCCTATCATTTTAACACATTTTATGTATGCTTCACTCAGTAAAATAAAGGGCATGTTAAGAGTGTTACTAAAGGCAGTGTTATGAAAACTCTTCTGTGGTAGTGAAGTTTACACAACAACACAACTAAAGTAAGTGTCACTCTCAGCCTTTCCTATCGTCGCCTGACGCAGTACAACGATGGGTTTGTAAGATGTGTCTTGGTGTGTTACTATTGCCTAACACGTAATTCGACTTAAATAAAGTAATGTGCGCTAGTACCCAACTAATCACCTACGTGTAAGTACTGGTAGCAAAATACAAATTGGGAAACACGTTATGTGGCAGAAAGTAGTCACACAAATAGTTAATTTTTTAGTCAGAGATAAAGACGTTATATTGAGGGGAAGAATGTTAACTTATCTATCTATTAATGGCTAGGATAGGAACTCTGAGATGGTTGCCGCCGACCAGAACAAAGAAGATTTTAAAGTACGGATACCTATACACCAAAACAAACTCAGAAAACTAAAGTCACTCGACGCCATCGTAAAAGATTATTTAACTATTTTCTCCATATTTTAAATGGTTATTTATTTAGTTTAAGCCTAGAATTATTTTGGTGCCAAGAAGGCGCACCATAAATTCACTGTAAAGCTAGAGACTAGCTATATCCAGTAAATTAAGTGCAGTAAGTAAAGATACTTAGTATCACCTATCAAACAGTTGTTCATTTAGGCAGTGAATACTTACTACCAATACTACTTTCCTGTTTTCACTGTCAAGTGACTTCTAGGACTGTCTTGTACCCTATTAAACTAATATATTATGTGTTGTCATTTATGTAGGACAGGAAACCTCTATACCTTCTAAACACGTTTTTCTAAACACTTTCACTTTCTTTGGGTTAGTTTTCGCCCTTGCTTATCTTGTGAATAAGATGGTTTTGGCCGATAGAGGTAGTTTGTTCTTGCTGATCATGTAGTCTTTGAGACTGCGCTACAGTTTTCATAAAACACCTATTTTTTACTTGCTAAGATGAAAATGCAATGTTTCCGTGACTAAAATTACTCCTATATGAGAAAATATTTAATTTTCCACTCTGAAATGACATCAAATCACATCGTACATATATCTCAGGCATAGAACAACAATTACTTAATCACTAGTTAAAATGCTTTTATTTTTGTTTCGTTTCATACTTCATTTGATCACAAAATACATACAAAGTAGAAGGGAATTATCAAAACGAATAACAAGTATTACAATTTTGTTTGTAATAAAAATAAAATTACCAATATTACATTGGCCATTTAACACCCAGTCTCATAAAAGGAATGTATAAAAATTCAAAAATACGAAGAAGAAAAAGGAAAACAATGAATGGAATAAGAAGTAGATTATGTTGTTGAATAATGCACATCAAAATTTGTTTTCTTATTCAAGATCTTTTATTTCGTTATTGTTGTTCGCTGATTGCTTTTATTTTTTGTTCATTTAATCTAATCATCTCTACCTTGTTTTATAGCTATGAGAACACAGACTGCAAATGCTAAGCAGATCATTTGTAGCAAAGCAAAGATGAATACGCAGATAATGACAATATTCAAGTGTTTCTTGCTCAGTTCACTCACTTTGTCAATGCACCCCTGAAATAAACCAAATGATATTTTAAAGCATGATATTAACGATGAACTGAAAAAGCCACGATACGAAAATGTTCCTACAACTAACTGACATATTTAGAGAAGAACTTAAAGTGAAAGGTAACACTTGATAGTTCAGACATCATTGGCGATTCTCCTTCCTAATTCATTTTTTGAGATAACCCAAAGCCTTTTGTTTTCATTAACGACAAGCCTAACATATAGCCACTGAAAGAATACTGGGAACTGAAAATTCTTCTCAGACTATTTAAATATCTGAAGAAGTAGCTATTACCTCTCTCCTTATAACTACTAGAGGCAAAACTTCACCTGTAGGCACAAAAAACAGCATGCTGCCTAAGGTGGCCTTCAAACAAATTATTTAACACCTCAGAAATACAGTAGGTGGAAATCTTTATTACTAGTGCCAAACGTCCTTTCGATTTGTGTCATAAATTAGACCTCACTCGTCTGCGCATTTATTAATTTAGGTTGTTTTTTGCGTACGACGATGTGAAACAACTGTTTCACACTTTAAGGTGCCTTGGTATATTTGATACGCATAGTGCGCTTACTGTAACCAAATTTCCAAAGCGCTACTTCCAAGTACCTGAATGTTTCACCAGCTTATGTGTTCATATAGCAAAACATGTCCTGCTACTTAATGTAGGCCAAATATAACCTCATAATTTAGCCTCATTCGCACTATCGACATAAGATAGCTGAACAACATAAAATGCAGTATAATCACACAATGTGTCGCAAAATATCGTATACGCAATGAGCAACATATGTATTCATTATAATGGGGTTATAAATGTAAATCAACCTGCCAGTCAAGTAAATAATGATAGTGAATTGGCCGATAAAGGAGGTGAGTGAAGTCTTGCACTTCAAGTTAGTGCTGTAAACGTTGAGATTTCATTTAAGTAAATATCTTGGTCGAATAAAAGCCACCAGTTTCACTTTCAAAATAGTCCAAAACGAAATCTGTTTAATTGAGCAAATAATCATTAGATTATTGCTGTAGACAGACAACAGTGGGTAATAACTTAAATCCACTCTAAGTTCTAGTCTGAGAACTGGTTGCATATTTTAAAGTCGTAGCTAGTTACTTCGAAGGGCTCTTTATTATGGCAATACCAGGAACTCTGTTTTCTTCACGCTGCATTGTTTGCCAATATGCTATATATTTATTGCTAACTAAAAAATCAAAAAATCAGTGACTTTTAGCTTCTACAAGCAAAGATTCTTGTAACATTGTGTAACTAGTCGTGATGCCATTAGTTTTCCTTGCAATATTTGTTACATTTTCAAAACAGTGAGCAGATTTAGCATAGTACTGATAGTGCCAGTAAAAAATAACTAATTAATGCAGAAAAAAATATTTTATCGTCGTAAAGGTAATGCTGTCTGTGTCTTTTGGGATAAGTCTATCCTGAAAGTATTTGTTTTCTATTTCTATTAACCAGAACATTCGCTTTTGAGTAGCATAACACCTAAGATTACACGATTCTTGTGCAAATTTTCCAGAATGAACTGAAACAACAAAGGGTTTCGGCTGATTGTTTGCTGGCCCCTTGTCATCATTCTCTAGCAGGTCTTTGCGAAGATAATGAATGATCACATTTGACGGTGTTTCATATCAAAACCTCAATTGAAGGAGGCACTTTGACCACATACCTAATTTTCCGCGTATCATCTTTCGATTTGCCAATGGTTTTAGCCTTGATTATGGATGAACTACGCCATACCTAATCGTATGTCAGTTATTCAGTAATTGGACAGGGCAGATAAGTAAAAAGTTTGATTTTAGTACTATAGTCAAAAACCAGTGGATTAACACGAATTAATGATCTGCGTACATTTTAAATTTTGCCCAGTATGCTACTAAATTTTAAAGTTCGCACAAATTTATGTCCACTAATTTCTTCTTGTGAATACAAGGCATGACTTCCATTAGAACTTAATGGGGCGGCTTTAAACGTTGAAGATTTCTAAAAAGGTGATGAGGACAATACAAGTAGGGTATGTTAACCCTTATAACGAGGTCATAGTTATAAAAAAAATGTAGAACCGTTATGTGATCGACAAAAGTGTGTTTAGTTTTAGATGGACGTGAGTCTTTGACCAGCTCTGCATTTTACTGTCAATAAAGTAAAAGGCTTTTGAAACATCACAGTCCTTCATTAGAAAGTTTGTTGACTTTGCCTGAAGATTATTAACGATTTATTAGGTCAAGTACATGCGGTGGACAATGCCAACAAAGCTCGACTAATATATGTTTGAAAGCCTCATTTCATGCAAAGTGAGAATGATTATAAATGTGCGTTTTCATTTAATAGGAACGTTATTTCGCGTGAATACGGAAAATAAAAAAAATTATTATTCGAGGTATACATTGTAAAAAGTAATCAAAAAGCATTGTGATTCTCAGTAGACAGACTAAGAGATAAGCACAGATTAGCGGCTAATTATTTCTTTATCTGTGTCTCATGAAAGAAGAAATTACCTTCTTGTAAGTTTGACCGGATGATTTACATGAGTCTGGAACGTTTGAACGATAGTCATCAGGTGACTCAGCTCCGCAACATTTTAGCTGAAACAGAATGTATAAAAAAGACTAGACAACACTTACTTTTGTCTGGACTTCATCAAGGACCTTTTTAAAGTGTTCGTTTGAATAGTAACGAGATACGATTGATTTCAAAGCATCAGTAATATGCTCTTTTACCTAGAGTGCATTAGACTCACATTTTCAGAATTACTTTGGGTTTGTATATGATTGCTGCTATCCCAGCTCCTATCTGACCAATTATCAGGAGCCCTAAAAGGACACAATACTAAAAAACGTTTCTATGAAGCTAAGTTTTTGCATATACCGTTGTTAAGAGACAAACATTTTTTGTGCATGCTCCGAACATGCCTAAAGCCCCAAGAATAAAAAGAATGCATCCCAATACAATGATTGTTATTATAAGATATTGAAGTGGAGGTTCGATATCTTTCCAATGATTAACCACTGAGTTGAGAGCAACTGCACCAGCTGCAATCAATCCAATACCACATACCTGAAGAAATTGCAATACATCAAAACTGAACTTACAAAAACCCCACAATTAAAAATTACAAGCAACAACTGCAAGCATTTGTATCCGCAACTTAGCCCCATTTTAACACCCTAACCATGAAAACATACCACAGCTTTTATAAAGTTAGACTGGTAAGGTCATTGTATTTAGTATTCGTATTTAATTAAAACAAGATTTTTCACAGTGAACATTCGTTTTCAGTAACACAAAACAATACCGAATGAAAAAATACTAATATTTCTTCCAGTCTTAACTACAGTGAAAACTTTAACTTACTTTCATTAATAAAAGAGGATGAAGTGCCATGAAAAACTTATTTTGGGATCAAAGCAGGTTTCTGACGCCGAAAAATTTTCAAATTTTTCTGCATAAAGCAATATCCACGCTCAGGCTGCTGGTACTGCTATTGAGATTCCCTTCTTGAGGAAGGTTGTTTTGCTTTTAGTCAGTAGCAGAATTGTTCTTTTGAAGTTCATATGGTTTACTGGTTATCTAAATTATGCAAAAATTCCCATTTAGACATTTGGTAAAACAAACAATGTGAGCGGAGAAATATTTCTTTTCAGTTTATTTCTTTTTCGTTTATATTGCAAGGGGACGAAACTCAAGAAGTGGGTGTATTGACCTGTTGACGTTGGTTTCCGATACACACTTCTTTTTATTGTTCCATCCACCTTCCTTGTCAATCGGACATCTAAGAAGGTGATGCTGCCGTCACTTTCTGTTTCAATAGTGAAGGTTATTGCTGGATGGACGCCATTGAATTCATCCAGTATGATCCTTGCATCGAAATCTCGTTAAATGTTTGGTCCATCGGGCGAGACTCATCTGTTCAGATGAAAGTTTTGACGAAGAGCTTCAAATTATCCACGATCTACTCAGTAGTAATGGATATCCAGAAACGTTCCTGGCTAAAAATATGAACACATCCAATATGAAAACCAGAATGCCTACAGTCTCCAAGAAACCATTGTTTCTAAGACTACAATTTCGAGGTGACATCATCAGCGAAATTGTGACACAACGCCTAAGAAATGCCATAAGAAGATCATTTAATGCCGCCAAGTTATGTTGTGTTTTCTACAGCCGGCCGATGATGACCACACAAACTAAAGACAGACTCCCTGACTTCTCCTCTTCTATGTGCATTTACCAGTTCAACTGCTCCTGTGGAGCTAGTTACATTGGACGTACAGTTAGGCAAGTCCGTCGTCGAATCGCCGAGCATCATCCTTCATGGCTAAGTAAGGGGGAAACCAGACTGACACGAAGCTCAATACTCTCTCATCTGATTGACACCGGCCACCGAGTTAACATTCATAATGCCTTTAAAGTTATTTATCACATTCTTTCTAACCTCATCCACGCTCCACGAGTCCGTCTTTTACATACAGCAGAAGCCATAGGAATCCACCTACACAAGCCAAGTCTGTGTGTTCAGAAGAGATTCGTACAGCCTCTTTCTTTGCCTTGGCCATCTGTATAGCTCATTTATTACAACAAGACTCTTCGTTTCATCCACCACACAATTCACTATAACTAGTATTTCAATAGCTCCACTATTATTATTATTATTATTATTATTATTATTATTATTATTATTATTATTATTATTATTACAGGCTTAATCATCTTTCTCTCCCCCTACTGTCTCTAATTACCGTCAACAATTCACCATTTTACGTAACAGTTCATTTTTGCTCTTTAGTTATCATTATATAAAATATCAATTATGTAAGAACCTGTTCGCAAAATCTTTCAACGTCAATTATTCTTTGCTTTATTTAACTGTCCTAATTACCTGACCAATTATCACCTTCTTGAAACTTTGAGATTTATAACCTTTCACTGAAGAACTCTCATCACTAGATTGGTATGTAATTTTACGTTTGAAAATTCTATATTAGTGTAGAGCCATTGATGAGGAACTAATTGAAAAGAAATATTTCTTCGCTCACATTGTTTGTTTTATCTTAATTATTATTATTTATCACTTAGGTTCCTGATGGGATATACAGATTTAGTAGCACATCTCCATCCCACTCTCTCCTCTGCAAGCTTTTGAACCTGGCCACATGACAGCCCAGAAGCTCTCATTTCTTCTTCACACGATCTCCTCCATTTCACCCTCGCCTCGGGCGCCCAACTCGTCGCTTATCATCTGGGACCCACTTGAGCGCCTGGCCTGAAGCGTGATGTCCCCAGTCGTCTTTCTCATTGTATGCCAATCCATCTCCACTTCATTCTGCTAATTTGCTCAGAGATAGATTGTTGGTTGGTTGGTTACCAGCCAGATTGAGTTCGTTGTTGCTTATTCTTCCTGGCCATCTGAACTTCAGTAACTAACATCGTAGGCAGTTGTTGATGAATAACTGTAATTTGTTGGAAATCCCTTTCGTAACGCGCCAAGTCTCTGAACCATCTAGAAGCAATGGCTTGACTGAAATGATGTTGAAAATCCGGACCTCGTTTACGCTTTATGCTGAGTGCTGAAGATCTCCACACTGGTTTCAGGCTAATGAACGCCTGTCTTGCTGTCTTTGCGATTCTAGCTTTGACATCCTCGTCCATGCCACTTGTAGTTGAAACAGTGCTGCCCGGATAGGTGAAGCAGGCTACTTCTTTTACGTTTCTCCCATTGATGGTGATTGGAGCTTGTTGTTATTGTCGGTGGTAGTGTTGGTTGGGTATCTTCATCACCTATGTTTTCTCAACGTTCACTTGAAGTCCCTTTTTCACAGCCCTGCCTCTTCTGTCAACCTGTTAGTTTTCGCCTGTAAATCTTCGAGTTTCTGTGACATTACACATAAGTCATCGACAAAATCCAAATCTTCTAGGCTCTTTTCGTCGGTTCAGCCTAACCCCCTCTTCTCATGGCTCCCCACCGTTTGTTGCATGATCCAGTCGACCACAATCAAGAAGATCATCGGGGATAGTAGACAGCCTTGTCCTACTCTTGTCTTCACTGCAAAAGTATCGCTGAGCCTCCAATTGTGAACCACTCGGTATGTGGCGTCTTCATATAGTTGTTGAATGAGATCGACAAAGGTTTGCAGTATTCCGTAGTGTTGAAGCAACCGCCAAATCACTTCTCGGTCGACCCTGTCGAAAGCCTTCTCAAAGCCGATGAAGTTGAGGTAGAAGGTTGACTGCCATCCTGTATTCCGTTCTATGATGATGCAAAGCATTGCAATCTCGTCCGCACATGATTTGTACTTCCTGAATCCAGCCTGTTCAAGTCGTAAATTTGAATCCAGCCCATTTTGTGGTCTCTTTCTCCAGGATGATGTGGCTTAATATTTTGCTTGGGGTGGATAGGGAGAGGAGCATGATTCCGCGCCACTTCTTTTAATGACTTAGGTCCGCATTCTTTGGAAGTCTGACAAGGCAGTCCTTCTTCCAATCAGTCGGCAGGTACATTTCCTGCCTTCCCTGCAAAACTTCTGCAGTGGTGGTGTGGGCATGTCGGCTGTTGTCCCTGGGTCTGCTCTCAGTGCTTCTGGCCGAGTTCCATCTGGTCCTGCTGCTTTCCCGCATTTCAATTCGTTGTTAGCGGTTCCTCTCCTCGTCGTTCATCCTCGCACTGGTTCGTCTTCATCTTCACCGCCCCCTGTCCTCCATCAGCTCCCATGTGTCCGTTGAGATCCATTCCTTATCTTCTTTCTTCTTCTTTCCTAACGCGGTTATGCAGGTTTCTTTCCACGTAGCTTCCAAAGGGTTCCGGCGCCCATCCACACAGGCTTCTTCAGTGACGTTTCTCGACATCTCCCATTTTGTCCCAATGGCTGACGTGAATATGTCCCTTGTAGTTTCCAACTCCAGTTCATTTTCTGTCTTGGGTGTTGAGCTTGAATTGTAATCTATCACCAACTCCTTTAAAGGCCTTTAACTTGATTTGGAAGGCAGGTTCCTTGCACCAGATGTTGCTCCGAACCTACGTGTGCTCCCCTTCTTGAACTGGTCTAGTGTCCAGCAGGCTGTGACTCCACTTTCTTCACATTGAGATGAAGTCCGTCTAATATTCGGTGTGTCCTGGTGTTTCGTGAAATCCACATCGCTTTGTGGATACCTTTGTGCTTGAACACAGTGCCTCAAGTAATCAAATAGTTGAATGCACAGAATTCTGCGAACAATTCTCCATTCTCATTCATCAACTCACCGAGTGTTTCTGGACCCGTGATTAGTTCTCTACCTGTATTTTGTTGTCAGCTCCTAGTTTGGCACTCATGTCAACCCGACCATGAGAATTTCGGTGTCGTTTTGCTGAGGTCTTGCCTAGTGTTGATTGCAGTTGTCTGTGGAATTCCTCCTTCTGTTCTTGATCTGCATTATTTGTAGGCGCCTGGCATTATACAATTGTGACTCTCCTCCCTTTTCAGTTGAATCTTGCTGTCATGATCCTGAGGAGATTGCTTCCCACTGTGTGAGAGCCTTCGATGCTCTTGGGGACACCATGACAAACACTGCCTGTTGGTGCTCGTGGTTGTTGCCTGAGTAGCAATATAGGAGTAGATTACTAACTTCCCAGTTGGCAGTTTGGGGGGGTCCACATGTTTACTTTAGCTTTCATCAAGAGAGAAGACATCGACCAATTGGCTTCCTGGCGGCTTCACCAACCGGTGTCATTTTGTCTCTCCGATTTCAGCGAAGAATATGTTTGTTTTTATTTCTCATATTTTGTTTATGCTTCGAATTTTCTGTTGCGGTTGGATTGGTTTTACGGGGTTATCTAAATGGTTCAAATGATTTAACTTTTTGTTGGCGGAATAAAATAAGCTCTTGTTCAACGGGCTTTTACCTCCAAATTCCAAGGATCACTACTTCTTGTGGTTGCTAACCTGTATACAGGTAAAGAAAAAGAGAGTAGGGACGGCTAAAATGTGAAAATTCAACTGCTTCCGGGCAGACACCAGCCACATATCAAATATGTATCCAGTCGGCGTTTAAATGAGTCGGACAAATTATCATGGATCACGTCTGGAGGAACAGCGTTTCAGAGTTTGACAACTCTCAGGGAATAGAAGTTGTGCTCGATATCTAAGCTGCTACGTTCCAGGCTTAGTTTCTTTTCGAAAGCTCTAAGATTAGTGCTATAACGTAGATCTAATAAGTGACGAAGTTGGTGCTCAGCATGTCGTGAGCCGTTATCACTTCTC